ATTTAGGATTTTCCCTTAGAGCAAAGAAAATCTGAACATACAGCACCTCACACCATTTCCTTTTTTGTAAATTTTATCAAACTGTAAAATTGTATTAAAATTGATATTTCCCTCTGGTGGCCAGGTTTCTTCATCAGAGAGTTTGTATTGAGGCCAGGCCAAGAAAATGAGGTGCTTTTTCTTGAGCGTCTGAAGTTCAAATTTATCCCAATTTTTCAATACGCAGGCTAGTGGTGCACCTGGTGCATTGGAGAGAGAGAAGCTCCCGTCTGAGTGAGAAGAAAACAGGACTCAGGCGCCCATGCCGTGACAGAGAAAACTGTTCTCATTAGGGACGTCTCCCTAAGCTTGAGCTTCCTAAATGGTCCAGAAAACCCGTCTCTCACCTTGCTTTGCCAAGGGGTTTCTGGTCCCCTTTAGCAAAGTGCTAGGGTCTCAGTTTGCCCTGTGCCAGAGACCCTGGGAGGATTCAGACTTAAGGGCATTACTGCTTATCTTCCCGGCCACTAAAAACCCATTGCAAAAGAGAAAACGTGCTCTTTTGTTGCCTTTGCTCTGTAGACTGAAGGAGCCACCTAAGTGTTAAGGGATATCTACTGGTTGTAAGGTAGCAGATTACCAGAGGAGTTGATTCTAAAAATGCCTCTCTAGTAGCTTAAAGAGAACACAGCTCATTTTAAACATTGGGGGAGTAAAACAGACTAGTGAAATTTACCTATGCATCTTAGAGAACCTGGGCAGATTTTACTAATTATCTCATGCCTTTCTCAGTCCTACAACCTGAATTGCTAACATTTCTGACCTGCAAAGGAAGGGGAGCATCCAGGAGGAATGGATGCGAGGTTGGGAGTGTTGCATGGCCCATACGGAGGCAAATGTGATTGGGGCTTTCCCTCAGTGCCATTCATCTACCTATCACCCTAGATACCCCCTGAGGGCCATCGGAAGGGGGCTCAAGAGAAAGGAACCTTAGGAATCGTCTTAGTGTAGCCCAGACTGGAATTCCGCAGTTGTTCCAAACTCCTTCCTCCACCTCCACGCATCCGAGGCAGATCGGGATTCGGGACACTGTGTACTCATGCCAATTGCTCTCCAGGCCCAGACAGAAAAGTTGGAAGCGGCTTTGGCAGAACCCAACATGCCTGCTCTGTATTGAACAGGTGGTGATTGAGAGCTGCCTAGGCTGGGAAACCTCTCACCCGAGTCTTGAAGAGTGGCAGCTGCACTAATTGCGTTTAAGTAGCCTTCAGGTGCCCACCTTACCCTCCAGAAAGAAAGAGAGAGAAAGATGCACCTCAAACAGACATGGGGTGCGTGCACTTACCTCAGTGTAGAATCTCGGTCTGGGACCTCCAATATGTTACCGCTGTTGACCGGTGACGAGTTCTTGCCCAGTGTTGAAGAATAACACCAAAGAAGCACGCCGAGGCAAGGTCAGAGTAGAAATTAGAAGTTTATTAAAGGACAGCAGAAAAGACTTCTCCCGGAGGAAGAAGGGGACCCAAAAGGTGGAATCCCCCATTTCATTTTTTATACTTTTCCACAATTTTTCTAAATTTTCTCAAATTGAGCTTATACTATTTTCATAAGGATGTCACAGAATTAGAATAAATGCATGTTTATAATTAGTTCACCAACATAGGTTATACTATTCTACCTATTTCATGTAATATTATCTACAGCATGGATAGCTTTGGACTACAAATTGGTGACACAAAGAATGAACATAAGTTAACAATTATTGGATACACAGAGTACCTTGATGTCACATGTGAATCACAGAGATAACTCTCCCTACAGAAACCTACAGACTCTCCCTACAGAAACCAGTATCATTCAGTTAAAAATTATAATTGAAGAATGCTCTGGACAATGTACAGTCTGCATGGTTAATATTTAGAAAATTTTTTATCTTGTTTATCTCTTCTTTAAAAATTATTTTAAATATATGCTTTATATATTACAAATTATATATATTAGAAAATATATATTCAAAAGTTTGTCATTATTATACAGTGGGAAAAGAAAAAATTATTCATGAAAAAATTCAATGAAGGAGGGCTTGGGATATGACTCTGTGGTAGAGCACTTGACTAGCATGTGTGGGGCCCTGGGTTTTATTCTCAGTACCACATGTAAATAAAGGAATAAAACAAAAAGGTCCATCAATATCTAAAATAACATTTTTTTAATTGAATGAAAGAAAAAAAGCAAGTATATGGTTTTAAATACACAGGTAGTGAAATTTTGTCTCCTTTACATTTTCTTACTTTTGGGGGGAGAGGAGTTTATACTTTGGTTCTTGAATATGTCCCAATGGTCCATGTGTTGAAGGATTGGTTCATGGTCCAAGGCAACACTGAGAGGTGGTAGAATTTTTAGATAAAGGCCTAGTGGAAGAAATTCATGTAATTAAGGGTATGCCCTTGAAAGTTCTAAATTGGGATTTCGACCCCCTTCTCTTCTTCTCTCTCTCTTTTTTAAATCCCAGCCAATTTCTCTGTCACAGGATCCTACCATGATGTCCCCCCTTACCATTAGCCTCCAAAACTGTGAGCCAAAACAAAATTTACTTCCTTATCAGTTCATTATCTCAGGTAATTTTTTTTTAGCATAACACAAAGTTGACTAACACACAACACACAGGTGAGAGTAAATTGAATGATATGGGATTGATATTTTTTTTTTAGATAGTAAGTTAGCTGTGGGTATGTATTGGTGATCTTAAGTAAGAATAATTCTGAAACAATTCCAACCAAACATGTCTTTACCAGGAGCTTTCTAAAAGTTGAAGTGATTTGATCAAAAGTTTGACCAGATCTCCACTGGAGAAATGCCTGCTGAACCTCTTTGTGGTACAAGTTCTCCCTGTAGGATACAGAAAGGTGAGGAGGGCCCCTCATACCCAGTTATACATAGCAAATTCTACCATAGTATCAACTTGATAACAGAACAACATCTGTCATATAGAAAGAATGACCTAAGAAATATGATAACTTAAACATATAACTATACCTTTATACACCTAGATTATAAATAGGACTCTTGGAACAGTTTCATTGAAATTCTAAACCATGCACCATGACCCCAAAAAATCAGTATTTCTTAAACTTATTATAAAATTTATTTAAGGGGGAGTGTTTGGAAAATCCAATAAACTTTAAGATAAGCTACACAGGAACACAGAGCTGACTGAAAGTGAAATAAAGTACTTTCATCTATAACTAACTACCTTTTACTACCCTTAAATTGAAAGACAAAATAACTAAACTAAAATGATTCTCCAGATAACTTGCACGGAACACCTTTTTCAGTAAAACAATAATAATAAGTAGCTAAATATGACTTAAGTTCCTGTGGATGGTCTTCTTCTAAGAACATATTAAAAATAATAACATCATAAGTGATAAACCTGAAGAAAATGTTTTCCCACTACTGTTAAAGCAAAATATTAACAATACCTCTTAATAACAGTAAGGTAGACTTCATTCAAGACATCACAAGCAGTGTCTGCATCACTGAATATATCTTTTTAGTAGGGAATTTATGTGTTTGAATAGAGCTTGTCACTACCCACCTTTGTGTTGAGGTTTGTTGTGTTCCCTTTTTAGTAGGGAATTTATGTGTTTGAATAGAGCTTGTCACTACCCACCTTTGTGTTGAGGTTTGTTGTGTTCCCTTTTTAGTAGGGAATTTATGTGTTTGAATAGAGCTTGTCACTACCCACCTTTGCTAAGGTGACAGTATTGAGAGGTATGGTGACCTTAAAAGGTGATTATTTTAGTCAACTTTATCATCACTCTGACCAAAATACCTAAGAACAACTTAAAGGAGAAAATATTTATTGGGGGCTTGTGGTTTCAGAGGTCTCTGTCCACTAATGGCCAACCCAATTGCTCTGGGCTCAAGATGAACTAGTACATCATGGGGGAAGGACATAGCAAAGAAAAGATGTTCAGCTCATGTCAACAAGTGAAGAGAGAGAGAGAGAGAGAGAGAGAGAGAGAGAGAGAGAGACACTCCACAGGGCAAATGCACCCTTCTAAGGCATACCCACGACAATCCACTTCAACCAGCCAAGCTCCACCTGCCTAGAGTTATACCCACTCAGTGAACTCTAGTTTGGAATAATTAGGTTTTAGTTCTCATAATCTAATGATTTTACCTCTGAATCTTCCTGCATCAACAAAAGTTCTGGGGGGAAAACTTATTTTCAGACCATAGCAATCATTAAGACTTTAATAAGGATTAACATGTCTATGTGAGTAGGTTAGATCTGTCAGGACTGGATTAGTTGCTGCAAAAGACAGTTGCTATAAAACAGGGTCACTCCAAGTGCTTGACTTCTTGGGCACATACCCAAGTCCCATTTTATTTTTCTGCCATGCTGTGACATAGCCAGAGTGTGCTAAACAGTGTCCTAATCAGATACCAATAGAGGCAGTAGAATTATGGGCAAAATGAATCTTTTACTTATACCCTGATTTAAGTATTTTGTTATAGGAATATACAATGGAATAAACCAAGAAGAAAAATTGGATTTAAATTCATATATAATAAGATTTCACAATTCTGTGCATATATTAGGAAACAGTGAATTGTACACTTTAAATTGGTCAATTGTATAGTATTCATTAATATCAAGAATATTTAAAAATTACCTTTGAATCAGGTAATCGAAGAAATGCTGTGTCAGTTGTATGATTATTTGATACATACAAGAGATCCTCTCAGTTGCCACTGTTTTTGATATCACTCTAAAACACAATACATAAAACAGGTAATGTATATATGAGAGATCATTAAATCTTAGCTGGAAAATAGCACTTAGAAAAATAAAGGAGTTATAAAACAAGTTTTTATAACCTTTAGGTACTCTATCTTGTGTTTGTTTTCCTATTGATCAATCTGTTAACACTATGATTGTACTTTGAAGTGCAGGAGTTATACTTTAACTTTGGATTGATCTGTCCTGAGATATAAGCCTGAGAAATTGAAGAAAAGAAGAGCTGCTAATGTGAAAGAAGCATTACATTGCACTAAGATGTCTGTGAAAAGGAACTTGGTTCTTCTGCTGATACAACTGATGTGTTACTTTAGTTCTGGAAGCTGTGGAAAAGTGCTGGTGTGGCCCACAGAATACAGCCATTGGATCAACATAAAGACCATCCTGGATGAACTTCTCCAGAGAGGTCATGAGGTGACTGTTCTGACATCCACAGCTTCCATTCTTATTAATCTGAACACAACATCGGCTATTAATTTTGAGGTTTATCCTGCACCTTCAAGAGAACAACATTTGGAAGAAAGTTTCTCCAAATGGATCCATGAATGGATTTATGATATTTCAAAAGATGACTTTTGGGAATTTTATTCATTAGTGCAAAAAATTTTCAAGGAATATTCCAATACAATTGAACAACTCTGCAGAAATGTAGTTTTCAACAAGAAACTTATGATGAAACTACACAAATCAAAATTTGATGTTGTTCTTGCGGATGCTATTGGTCCCTGTGGTGAGCTGCTGGCTGAGCTACTTAAAATACCATTTATATACACTCTCCGCTGCACTTTTGGCTACACATATGAAAAGTACAGTGGGGAACTTACAGTCCCTCCCTCCTATGTGCCTATTATTATGTCAGAATTAAGTGATCATATGACATTCAGGGAGAGGATTAAAAACACAATGTATGTGCTTTATTTTGATTTTTGGTTCCAGACATTTGATGTGAAGAAATGGAATCAGTTTTATAGTGAAGCTCTAGGTAAGTTGATTCTTTAATTATTACTTGAAATCCTAATTTTCCTGTGACTTTGAAGCTGAGCTTTCATAAATATAAAATCAGAAGAATTTTATTTTCTGTAAGTAAAAGGATGGAATGAAAATATAAGATGTACAAATAGTCTCACCAATAAAAAAGGGGGGGCTTTTACATTGTAGGGCCAATTAGAAACCAGTGGCAATCACTCATACAGAATGCTCTAGGAAACAATAACTTGCAAATTTTATCATGAAAGATTTCTCTGCATTTAACTATTCTTTTCATCTTTAAGGACAGTCATTATTAATTTCACTAAATGGTTTAATGATGATAGACATGCAATTAATAACATACACAAATATTACTAGCACAACCATATGTATGTACCATGGAGAAAATTGTTTATTTTTGTATAGTTTTGTTTCCTCAGTTAGAAATTAAAATATTTATCTGAATTACCTTAAATAATCCTTCACAGTTAAGTAAATAGTGTCTCTATCTCAGATACAGAGAGGTATAAATTGACCTATCTCATACTTCACATTCTTTTAATAAAAACAAACAAATCATGTCTTAAGGCCTAAAACTTTTATGCAAAGTGGAACCACACCTTATTAGTCTATATTTTTAAAGCCTAATATTTACCATTTAAGACAATATGAACTAAAGTAAGCATGAAAACAAATCTCTATTGTAATGATTTGTAAAAACTTTCTGGCTGTTATTTTCAGATATATAAATTTTACCAAGTTAATATTATTAATCTCTTAATATGAGGTAATTGCAGTAGTGGTCACTAAGAATTCAGGCATATTCACTAACCATTGCAATCCACTTGTACAATCAAGGATCAAGGGAATGGTTTGCTCAATTGTAAGAATTAGACTGAGTACTCCTAGAAAAGATGTCTTAACAGTTATGGGAGCACTGATTGGTTGTGGAGCTCACCAAGATTTTAAAAATTTAGGTTACTTTTGCAGTTTTCGAGAGAGAATGAACTTCATGTTGACTTCTATGCTGGCTTATGTTAGTAATTATTTGTGATTGTATATACACTGATGGAACATTAGAAAGTACCCACACAATTAGTTTATGTACATATTAACAGCTAAAACATACCAATCATAGTATGCAAAAACATACACTATAAAACATATCAAATGCAGGATGCAAACACACACACATGTACACACATGCACTTTAATCATCTTGCCTACCCTAATCCTGTTAATTTCATGGAAATTATATGAAGCATTCCAGACACAAGTCTCTCATTATCTTTTCTTCTTTTCTTTTATGCATTCAGGGAGACCCACTACAATATATAATACAATAGGGAAAGCTGACTTTTGGCTTATTGGAACCTATTGGGATTTAGAATTTCCTAGTCCACTCTTACCAAATTTTGACTTTGTTGGAGGACTCCATTGTAAACCTGCCAAACCCCTCCCTAAAGTAAATCTTCTCCTGTTTGTTTTGTTCTGTTTGATTAACATTTTTCGTAGAAATGACTCTGCATTCTTAATTCAGAGTGTTTAACTCAGAGATATGAAATGCAAGATAAAGAGTTCTGCCATTTAGAGGCCCAGGCATTTCTATGTCATCACATGTAATGGCATTTTATTATTGTCACAGAAGAAAGTAGGATATCAGGCATCCTTTGAGAATAATCAGGAAAAAAGGCTTTAATTATGTAATACATAATAAAGAATCAATCATTTATTCTAATAAATACAAAGAATATTTATTAAGTGACTGTCATATACCAGAGATAAGTGCTGGATATAGAGAGATATAAAGTTGACACAGTTTCTGCATCAACCAGACCTTATATTCCGTCTGTAACAAGTAATAAATTTGTGTGTGTTATCATAAGGAAATCATACAATACTAATGAAACCTCCAGCAAAGATCATAAAATAAATCCTTAAATCCTTGATAACTAAGGTGAATTCTAAAGAATCCACAGGATAGAAAAGAGGTTGAGGGAGAGAGGGAGACACAAAAGGAAAAGCACATACAATAAATAGTAAGGGAAACTCCCAAGAACTTCAAGAGTAGTTCAGCAGGAGAAGGCTCAGCAAAGAGCAGATGATGCTAGAGAGGTAAGTGAAAGCCAGATAATTAGTAGGAGTTTAAAATATCTGTGAAGTACATTGGGTAGCCAATGAAAAGAGTTAAGCATAAGAGAAATGTGAATAAAGTTTCAGTTTTGAAAAATCTCAAAATGCAGTCACCAAGTTGGATTTTAGAGGGAAAGACAATGCAGAGGAACCACTCAGGAAGTTGTTGCAAGACTGCAGATAACAAATGATGTAAACATGGATGAGGTTGTTCTTACATGTGACTATGCTTATTTATCTATTAATAGTCAAACTTCATTTGTGTTACCTGGAAAAAGTAGATAATACTGATACACAATGTCCCTGGTACAAACATAGGATCCATAGCAATATTTGCTATTGTAATTATTCCTTTTTTGTTTTTATAAAACAATTTTCCTTCTGAATAACTGAACTTTGTATTTTACTTTTAAAGACCCGAACTATACCAAAAAGGTAAATACTTAGAAATAGTAATATTTGGGTATTTTTACATTTAATTTATTTTAGCATACCCTAAACACTGCTGTGTATATGAGTTTGGATTATATTCAAATTGAGAAATAGAAACTCAAAATATGACTGAAACAAACTACCACAGATTTTCTCTTGTAAATGTAGCCAGTCCAGATTTCTTGTGGTAACTCTATTACTAATAATATCAATTAGCTAATATGTGACAAGTACAGTGAATATAATTACACACAACATAAACTAGTTTTATTTTTTAATTCTAATTTGTTATATATAACATCAGAATGCTTTAAAATACATATTACACAGAGCAAAATTTTTCATATATCTGGTTGTACAAAAAGAAGAGTCACACTATTCATGTCTTTTTATTTATTTATTTGTTTGTTTGTTTGTTTATTTATTTATTTGTTTATTTATTTGGTGCTGTGGATTGAACCCAGGGCTTTGTGCACGTAAGGCAAGCACTCTACCAACTGAGTTATATCCCTAGCCCCTCATGGCTTCACACTTGTACTTAGAATAATGATGGCCATCTTGTTCCACTGTCTTTCTACACACACTCCCTTGCCCTCCCACCCCTTTGTCCTATCTACAATTGATGTATTCCTCTCATGCCCCCCACAGTCTCCATTATGAATCAGCCCCCTTATATCAGAGAAAATATTCAGCATTTGTTTTTTCACTTACCATTATCTTCTCCAATGCCATCCATTTACCTGCAAATGCCATGATTTTATTCTCTTCTATTGCTGAGTAATATTCCATTGTGTATATATGCCACATTTTTTTCATCCATTCATCTATTAACACGCATATAGGTTGGTTCCACACTTTAGCTATTGTAAATTGTGCTACCATAAACACTGATGTGGCTGAGTGCCTGCAGTATGCTGTTTTTAAGTCCTTTGGTTATAGACTGAGGAGTGGGATAGGTGGGTTAAATGGTAGTTCCATTCCCTATTTTCCAAGGAATCTCGATACTGCTTTCCATATTAGCTGCACCAATCTGAAGTCCCATCAGCAGTGTATGAGTGTGTCTTTTTCCCCACATCATCACCAACACTTATTGTTGTTTGTAGTTTAAATAGCTGCCATTCTGACTGGAATGAGATGAAACCTTAGAGGAATTTTGATTTGCATTTCTCTAATTGCTAGAGATGCCAAACAGTTTTTCATATATTTGCTGATTGATTATGTATAATATTCTGAGAAGTGTGCATTCAGTTCCTTGGCCCAGTTATTGATTTTTTTTTTTTTTTTGGTGTTTAGATTTTTGAGTTCCTTATATATCCTAGAGATCAGTGCTCTGTCTGATGTGCATATGGTATAAATTTGCTCCCAAAATGTAAGCCCTCTGTTTACCTCACTGGTTGTCTTTTGCTGAGAAGAAGCCTTTTCATTTGAATTCATTGCATTTATTGATTCTTGATTTCAATTCTTGTGCTATCAGAGTCTTATAAGGAAGTCAGGCCTTATCCAACATGATGGAGATTTGGGCCTACTTTTTCTTCTAATAGGTGCACTGTCTGTGGTTTAATTCCTATGTTCCTAACCCACTTTGAGTTGAGTTTTGTGCCTGGTGAGAGATATGGGTTTAATTACATTTTATTGCATATAAATTTCCAGTTTTCCCAGCATCACTTGTTGAAAAAGTATGGTTCTTCCAACGTATGTCTTTGGCACTTTTGTCTAATATAAGATAACTGTAATTCTGTGGGTTTGAATCTGTGTTATCTATTCTATACCATTGGTCTACAAGTCTATTTTGGTGCCAATACCATGCTGTTTTTGTTACTATTGCTCTGTAGTCTAGTGTAAGATCTGTTATAATGATGCCACCTGCTTCACTCTACTTGCTAAGGATTGCTTTAGCTATTCAGGGTCTCTTATTTTTCCAGATGAATTTCATGACAGCTTGTTCTATTTCTATGAGAGATGTCATTGGGATTTTGATTGAAATTGAATTAAATCAGTATAATGCTTTGGTAGTATGGCATTTTGGCAATATTAATTCTGCCTATCCAAGAACAGGGGAGATCTTTCCAGCTTCTAATGTCTTCTTTCATTTTTTTCTTTAGTGTGCTGTAGTTTTTGTTGTAGAGGTCTTTCATGTCAATGAAAATTGATTCCCAAGTATTTTATTTTATTTTTTTGAAGCTATTGTTAATGGGGTACTTTTCCTTATTTCCCTTTTAGAGGATTTGTCACCGATATACAGAAATGCATTTGATTTATGGGTGTTGATTTTATATACTGCTACTTTGCTGATTTCATTTACCAGTTCTAGAAGTTTTCTGGTGGAATTTTTTTGGGGGGTCTTCTAAGTATAGAATCATATTGTTGGGAAATAGTGCTAATTTGAGTTATTTTCTTATCTCTATCCCTTTAATTTCTTTTATCTGTCTAATTGCTCTGGCCAGTGTTTCAAGAACTATGGTAAATAGAAGTGGTGAAAGAGGGCATCCCTGTCTTGTTCCAGTTTTAAGAGAAAATGATTTCAATTTTTCTCCATTTAGAATGATGTTGACCTTGGGCTTAGCATAGATAGCTTTTACAACATTGAGATATGTTCCTGTTATTCCCAGTATTTCTAGTGTTTTGAACATGAGGGGTGCTATATTTTGTTAAATGCTTTTTCTGCATCTATTGAGATGATCATATGGTTCTTATATTAAAGTATATTGATTTGATGAATTACATTTATTGATTTTCATATGTTGAATCAACCTTGCATCCCTAAAATGAACCCCACTTGATCATTGTGCAGTATCGTTTTGATTATATTTTTAAATTCAATTTGCCAGAATTTTATTGATAATTTTTGCACATCTTTTCATTTAAGATATTGGTCTAAAGTTTTCTTTCTTTGATGGGTCTTTGCCTGGTTTTGGAATCAGGATGATATTGACGTCATAGAATGAGTTTGGAAATGCTTTCTCTTTTGCTATTTCATGAAATAACTTGAAGTGTATTGATATTACTTCTTCTCTGAAGGTTTTGTAGAACTCAGATATGTGTCCATCTGGTCCTGGGGTTTTCTTGGTTGATAGGCTTATGATGATGTCTTCTATTTCACTGCTTGAAACTGATCTGTTTAAATTGTATATAGCATTCTGATTTAATTTGGACAAATCATAGAAATCAAGTAATTTGTCAATGCCTTTGATATTTTCTATTTTATTGAAATACAAGTTTTCAAAATAATTTCTAATTATCTTCTGTTTTTTTGTAGTGTCTGTTGTGATATTTTATTTTTATCACATATGTTAGTTATTTGAGTTTTCTCTCTCCTTTAGTATGGCTAAGGATTTGTCAATTTTATTTATTTTTTCAAAGAACCAACATTTTGTTATGTCAATTTTTCAAATTATTTCTTTTGTCTCAATTTCATTGATTTCAGCTCAAATTTTAATTATTTCCTGACTTCTACTGCTTTTGATGTTGGTTTCTTCTTCTTTTTCTAGGGCTTTGGGATGTAATGTTAAGTCCTTTATTTGTTGGCTTTTTCTTCTTTTAAGTAATGAACTCCATGCAATGAATTTTCCTCTTAGTACTGGTTTCATAGTGTCCCAGAGATTTTGATATGTTGTATCAGTTATCTCATCTGTCTCTAAGAATTTTTTAATCTCCTCCTTGATATCTTTTGCAACCTGTTATTCATTCAGGAGCATATTTAGTCTCCAGGTATTGGAGTAGCTATTATATATTATTTTAGCATTGATTTGTATTTTCATTCCATTATGATCTGATAGAATGCAGGTTAGTATTTCTACTCCTTTGTATTTGCTAACAGTTGCTTTGTGGCATAATATATGGTCTGTTTTAGAGAAGGATACATGTGCTGCTGAGAAGAAAGTGTATGGGCTTGTTGAAGGA